AATCGGGCTCGCCACGTTCGGGGTCCACTGTCAGCTCTCGTTCACTATATGTTGGGAGCCGAGTGGGAGTTGCGATCCCCCACGGAGTGGTATCCCCCGACGGGCCCTGATGGACTCCAGCACGGATGGAACTTCGGCTCGCAGGCCTTCGAAGCGTTCGACCAGGCAGGCGAGCTGATCGATGCCGTTGCTGGCACCCTTCAGCAGCAGCTGTGGCTGGGGGCCTCCAAGGGCTTCTGCGGGGGCGGCATGGAGCGAGGGGTGGACAACTTCTCGCTGCGGCGCTACCTCTTCCAGCTGGAGCAGGCCCCAGAGTGCGGTCGGAAGTTGTCGGAACTCATGTTGTGTATTGCAGTGGGCGGGACCTGGCCCGCAGCTCGCAAAAACTCGCAAGGGTATGATATCCCAGCAGAGTGCCGTAGGTGTAGGGGAGGCCCTGAGACACCCAAGCATAGGTTTTGGCAGTGCGAGTGTAATCGGGACTCCAGAGCCTTTGAAGCCTCAGAGGATCTCATTCCCCGTGCTCTGGCTGAGGCTGATAGTCTCGAATGCTATTGGCTTAGGGGGCTCAACCCGTCTCACATGCTTGAGGTCTCCCCGCCTCCCGACGAGGAGATCTGGATTAGCAGTCACCCCAATGAGGAGCTTGATGGTGAGTTTTTTGGTGTTGGCACTCCTGGCATGCCCCTACTCGCGCGGGGAGATGCGTCGGGGGGTGCTGACACCCATTATCCCAGGTTGCGTAGGATTGGGGTGGCTCTCGCCACGGCCCCTTCCGCCGACCCCTCGGCTCAGAGATTTGCGCATGGGCCCCTCCCTGGCAAGCATCAGACGGTGCCGAGGGGCGAGCTTTTCTGTTTTGTCGTGGCCGTCGAAAGATCTAGGGGGCCTCTGGCCTACATTTACTGATAATGAGCAGGTTTCAACTGGATTTTGGAGTAGGTGGTTCGAGGCTCCCCAGGGCCCCAATGCGGATCTCTGGAGGAGGCTGCGCGATGCCCTGCAAGTGTCGGACCGACACCCAGGCGATGTGTGCGTTCTCAAAGTTCCCTCTCATGTTGACGGTGCTGAGGTGGAGGCTAGAGGTCTCCCAGGCCATTTAATTGCTGGTAATGTGTTCGTTGACGCCCTTGCGGGCACTGCCGCCAAGCTGTTCAGTGCCCCCGCTGATCAGCGTGCGAGAGTTCTCCGCATCGAGAATGAAGTCCGTCTCATTCGTGAGAGGCTCTTGAGGGCCACGTTAGAGTCGTGTAAGTTGGACGGGAAAAAGGTCAGGCGCCCTGCTGCCCCTGCTGTTGCCCCTCCCCCTGCACCCTCAGTCGTCGCCTTTTTCCAATCGTCTCATGCTGTGGAGTCTTGTGGGAAAAAATGCTCGAGGTGTCATATTAGCTGCTCGGAGGCGAGCAAGAAGATGTGGCTATCATCGGAATGTTTTCCCTAGTTCGGGCGACTGAGCACACTTTAAGGGTCCCTCACGGTCGGCGGTTACACCTCGCTGGGGGCTGGGTCCACCAGTCTCACCAGATGGTTTACCACGAGTCGTTGGCCCTGTGGTTCTGCCAGTCCTGTGGGAGGTATTTCTCTTGTAACCTCTGTGGGCTGGACGAGTTGTGTTCGTCTCCCGACTCCCCTGTGACCAAGACGCGGCGAGCATACCTCGACCGCATCTCCAGGAACCTGTGGCCTAAAGTGCTCAGCAAGGCTGAGCAAGCGGCTCGGGGTCGGTCTTAATTAAGTTGGGGGGGGGCGGGGCCCCTAAGTGGGTGTGTGTGTGTGTGTCAGCGGCGAGCGGCGCGCCCGCGCGCGGCCGCCCGCGACATCGGCGGCTTCCTCACGCAGGACCGCCCACGCACCCGCGCCGCCCGTCCCCCCCCCCTCGGTTTTTCGGATTCGCTTCGCGATCGGTCTCATCTCACCACCTCATCCTCATCCTCATCCTCATCCTCCTCCTCCTCCGCCTCCTCCTCCTCCGCCTCCTCCTCCTCCTCTTCCTCCGCCTCCTCCGCCTCCTCCTCCTCCCCCCCCTCCTCCTCCTCCTCCTCCTCCTCCTCCTCCTCCTCTTCTTCTTATTATTATTATTATTCTTCTTCTTCTTCTTCTTCTTCTTCTTATTCTTCTCTTCTTATTCTTATTATTCTTCTTCTTCTCTGTTTCTTATTCTTATTATTCTTCCTCTTCTTCTTCTTCTTCCTCCTCCTCCTCCTCCTCCTCCTCCTCCTCCTCTCCTCCTCCTCCTCCTCCTCCTCCTCCTCCTCCTCCTCCTCCTCCTCCCTCCTCCTCCTCCTCCTCCTCCTCCTCCTCCTCCTCCTCCTCCTCCTCCTCCTCCTCCTCCTCCTCCTCCCTCCTCCTCCTCCTCCTCCGCCTCCTCCTCGCTCCGCTCCTCTCCGCCGCCTCCTCCTCCTGCTCGGTTCCGCCTCTGCTTCCTCCTCCGCCCCATCCTCCTCCTCGTCCTCCTCCTCCTCCTCCTCCTCCTCCTCCTCCTCCTCATCATCATCATCATCATCATCATCATCATCATCATCATCATCATCATCATCATCAGCATCATCATCATCATCATCCTCATCATCACCTCATCATCAGCATCAGCAGCATCAGCATTATCAGCATCATCATCAGTAGCATCATCATCATCATCATCATCATCATCAGCATCATCATCATCATCAGCATCAGCATCATCAGCATCATCATCATCATCACCAGCATCATCATCAGCATCACCATCATCAGCATCATCATCATCAGCAGCATTATCAGCATTATCAGCATCATCGTCATCAGCATCATCATAATCATCATCATCAGCACCATCATCAGCATCATCATCAACATCATCATCATCAACATCATCATCATCAGCATCGACATCATCATCATCATCAGCATCACCATCATCACCAGCAGCATCAGCATCAGCATCAGCATCAGCATCAGCATCAGCATCAACAGCATCATCATCGTCATCAGCAGCAGCATCATCGTCATCAGCAGCAGCATCATCATCAGCATCATCATCATCATCAGCATCATCATCACCACCACCGCCATCAGCATCATCATCATCATCATCAGCATCATCATCATCATCAGCATGGTCATCAGCATCATCATCATTATCATCATGATCATCATCATCAGCATCATCATCATTAGCATCATCAGCATCAGCACTATCAGCATCAGCACCATCTGCATCAGCATCATCATCATCATCATCAGCAGCGTCATCATCATCATCAGAATCATCAGCAGCAACAGCATCATCAACAGCATCATCAGCAGCAACATCATCATCAACATCATCGTCAGTATTGTCATCATCATCAGCATCATCATCAGCAGCATCATCAGCAGCATCATCATAACCATCAGCAGCATCAGCATCATCAGCATCAGCATCATCATCAGCATCATCATCAGCATCAGCATCATTAGCATCAGCATCATCAGCATCATCATCCTCATCATCATCATCATCAGCATCGTCAGCAGCAGCATCATCATCAGCAGCATCATCATCAGCAGCATCATCCGTTCCTTGTCCTTATAAATAACTTCTCCCCGTCGCGCCCCGAGGCCAGTTTTGGGGGGCGGGCGGGGCGTTTCGCCTGAGACCTCCTCATCAGTTATGACACTGAAGCTGAAATTTGACAACAGTTTCAGATATGGAGGGCGGGTGGTGTTCAACATCTGGCTCTCGCCTTAGCGCCGCGCACATTCGTTTGAACAATGCAAGAGGTTCACGGATTGCGGGCGGGCCGTTTTCAACAGATGGCTCTCGCCTCAGCGCCGCGCACATTCGTTTTAAACATGTTCAAAAGCTTCACCGATTCGGGGCGGGTCTTTTCCAAACTGTGGCTCTCGCCTTAGCGCCGCGCATACTCGCTGTACAAATTTGCAAGACTTCACAGGTTGAGGGCGGGTGGTTTTCAAACCGTGGGTCTCGCCTTAGTGCCGCGCGCATTCGTTTGAACAAGTTGCAAGAGTTTCATGGATTGAGGGCAGTTCCTTCTCAAAATCTGATCCTCGCTTTAATGCCGCGCACATGCTTTTAAGACGAAAACAAGAGTTTCACGGATTCCCTTGATCGACGTACAAGGAATGGTGCTTGGGAAGGATTCCCGATTATGAGGGCGCACCAGTTACGATGTTTCGCGGTGTTGAAGTCCCAAGACTGGCGTTCTGGCACGACTCAGGATCGTCAAGACGCAACGGTCAAGTTTATCCGTGGCGTTGGAATAACGAAAACACTGTTTTGGCATGTCTTCAAACAATTATCTTCCAACGAGGCAGGTCCCTCTGTGGAAATGAACCGTTGTAGGGGCCCATGAAGAGGGAGCTTGGGGGGAGGGCTTATTCCAACATCATTGGTGGCTCTTGGGTTTACACTGGTCCTCCTCCTCCTCCTCCTCCTCCTCCTCCTCCTCAGTCTCCTTCTCCTTCACCGCCTTCTCCTCCTCCTCCCCCTCCGCCTCCTCCTCCTCCTCATCCTCCTCCTCCTCCTCATCCGTCTCCTTCTCCTCCAACGCCTCCGCCTCCTCCTCCGCCTTCGCCTCCGCCTTCGCCTCCACCTCCTCCTCCGCCACAGCCTCCGCCTCCGCCTCCCTCCCCCTCCCCCCCCTCTTCCTCCTCTTCCTCCTCCTCCTCCTCCGATCCTTCTCACTCTCCTCTAGCAGCGCCTGCAGAGACCCACAGCGCTCTCAGAGCATCAGGGATGTGGCGACCGCCCAGGGGCATTGGAAGGGGCTCTGGCCACGAGCTCGAGGGGGCTCCACCCGTGGCGACATGGAGCCCTACGAGAGCCCCCAACGGCGGGGGGGTAGAAAAAGACAAACCTTAAATCCCCGAACGCCGATCCTCGAAACGCCGATGCTCGAATATCGATCCTCCTGGATCCTCGAACGTCGATCGATCCTCATCCTGGGACCGCAGGGCCGGCAGGGGGGGCCCCGCGCGCCCTCCGCGCGCCGACGCGGCCGAGGCGGGGAGCCCCGCGCCTTGCCCCGCAGGGAGCTCGAACGACTCCGCGTACAGCGGCTTCAGGGTGCCTGGCAGGAGCAGAGCGCTCGGGGAGCGCCGGCGGCGTCACTGCACCAAGGGCAGCTGTGTAATTAAGCGCTTCGCGCTGCGCGAGGCGCGAGGCGCGAGGTGCGAACGACTTCGCGCTCTCGCGACGCCCCCACCCGGGGGAACAGAGGAGGGCGACGAGGACGAGAATGAGGGATCGCGAATCTCAGACCGCGAGCCGCGAATAACGTCGCGACCTCGTGGCGGCCCTTGTCACGCGTTCGCTGGAAGAGTCCAAGCGGCAAGAAGCGCGTGCGAGCATCAAACTGCTGCTCAACACATGTGCAAGAACTGCATGTGGAACAAGCGGTCACAATTGTTTTGCTTGAAACGTGAAGAGAGTGGGATCGCTATCATTTTCGCTCCCAGGAGGAGCAAGGACGGTCAGGAGGGAGGCTGAGCTGACATGGGGATCAAAATCCTCCTCGTCTGCGTCCTCGGCCTCTGCCTTCTCCTCCTCCTTCTCCTACTCGTCCTTCTCCCCCTTCTCCCCCTTCTCCTCCTCCTCCTCCTCCTTCTCCTCCTCCTCGTCCTGCCCCCTCCTATCGCCTCCACTCCATTGCCAAAGCATCCAGGAGAGCGGCGTTTGAAAGTTTCGCGGTAACGCCAGTCATGAGGGCCAGCCTTGACCTGCCCCCTTTTTCCCTGCCTATCAACGTCGCGATTCCCACGGGCTCTGACGGTCTCAACGGCCAAACTTCACACCACGATGCCTACAAATGCAATGTATATATATATATATATATATATATATATGCTCGCCCCCCCCTGGTATCATACCATTTGCCTTGTCTTCGATACTTCCCACTTCTGTATTTGTCAGCCCTCCCCCTCGTATGCTGCCCACTCTCCGTCCGCGTCGATGTCGTTACACATCGTACACGGCATGATTCCGAGGAGCACACCGAGCCCCGCGGGCGCCACAGCGCCTACGTGCGCCACGCAGGACAACTGAATGCAGTGCCCACAGCCTACGGGCGTTCGATCCTCACCCGGGGGGGGCGAGAGGCCAAAGACGCGCGACGAGAGCTCATGCCCCGAGGGGAAGGAGTGAAGAAGGCACACTCTGGTGGACACGCCACCAGGGCCATCCTTTTGACCACGAGGTGGCGCGGAACGGACATCGAGAGAGAGAGAGAGGCTCATTGGTATAGCCCAGAGCCGGACCACGCCCTGTCCAGGCCGGCCAGACCACCACTCCTGCAGACGTCTGGCGCTTGCCGATGCCACGATGAAATTCAAAACACTGGAACACATGCACCAGTCCACCATTGCGCGTTACGGTGCGCGTGCATCTTGCTACTCTGAAGGCTTCCACAGCATGATTGCAATATAGCCCATGTGGGCTATGCTCAACACCTTTCATTCAGCAGTTCGTGCCTTCGTATGCGGGAAGACCGGCATCGACCTCAGCTCGGCACCCATTCAGAAGGGTGCGGCTTGGCTTGTTCAAGCACAGCACAGCAACGTTTCAAGACAAGCCACCTCCAGGGAGGTAAGCCTGTGGCACGTGTTCTGCCTCCATGACACCTCAGAGACAATCCGAGTCGCTGGCAATGTTTACGTACTTACTCCTCCCTTCCTCACACATCCCTCCTTCCTCTTCTCGCTCCCCATCGTTCGCCGTCCCCCTCTCGGATAAGAACGGGGGGTATCCCCTCTCCTCCTGCTCCTCCTCCTCCTCCTCCTACTCCTCCTCCTCCTCCTCCTCCTCCTCCTCCTCCTCCTCCTCCTCCTCCTCCTCCTCCTCCTCCTCTCCTTCTCTCCTCCTCCTCTCTCCCCTCACCTCTTCATCTGACTCCCCCTCCTCCTATACACCATCGCTCATACTTCATCACGCCCCTCCCATCGCCCTCTCCCCGTCCCCTTCCTCCCTCCTCCCTCCCCCTCCTCCCTGCCTCTGACCCTCCTCCCTCCCCCCTCCTCCCTCCCCCTCACCCTCCTCCCTCCCCCTCCCCCTCACTACGACGACGAAAACGACAACAACGACAACGAAAACGACGAAAACGACGAAAACGACGAAAACGACGAAAACGACGACGACGACGACGACGACGACGACGACGACGGACGACGGACGACGGACGACGGACGACGACGACGACGACGACGACGACGACGACGACGACGACGACGACGACGACGGGCGACGACGACGACGACGACGACGACGACGACGACGACGACGACGACGACGACGACGACGACGACGACGACGACGACGACGACGGCGGCGGCGGCGGCGGCGGCGGCGGCGGCGGCGGCGGCGGCCCTGGCGAGAGGTGGCAGTGGGAGGCCAGTCCTCCGGCGTCCCGCACCAGGGGCCGGTGGCAGAGCTCCTGGTTGAGCGCCCCCGCGTCCTGCGCAGAGCGGCCAGAGCCCCGCCGGCCCTCCGAGACGAAGCCAGGACGAGGACACATTCCTCCTCCGCCTCCTCCTCCTCCTCCTCCTCCTCCTCCTCCTCCTCCCCCTCCTCCTCCTCCTCCTCCTCGGTGAGGGTGAATCGAGAATCTCTGAGATCCAGCGGCTCTGGAGGATGTATCGGGCGCCGCGGCCTTCTCAGAGCGCTCAGAGACCGCTCCGAGACGGTTCCGGACCGCTCTGGAGCGGAGTTGTCCTCATCCTAAGCCCGTCCGACCCTCTCGAGGGGCACCCAAGGTGGAGAGATCTCGAGCCGAAGTCGGCGACGCATCGTCGAGATCAGCGAAAGGCCCTCGACGGCAAATCCGCACGATCCTGGGCGCGGTGGGGCACCCAGGCCTCCATCGGCGATGAGCGGCCGAGTGGGGGTCCTCCTCCGCCTCCTCCTCCTCCTCCTCCTCCTCCTCCCCATCCTCTTCCTCCTCCTCCTCCGCCTAGCCTGCCCCCTCTCACGTTGGCCCGGACCTCTGGGCGAAACGACGACGAACCAAAGCCAATGCCGCCCCCCACCCCACACCATCCGTGCGTAAAAGCGGTACGCAGTGCACTTTCTGGCATAGCATTGCACAACGCGAGGGGACGCCCGCGGTCACTTTGAATTGTTTGTTGTTGAAGGGGACGGCGGGGGTGCAGCTCCATCCTTACTAACAAAAATGATAAGTGGACGCTGTGCAAAATCTTCGACCAAACGCGGAGCGCAACCGATTTGCATTGCCTCTTCTATGGGACATTGAATGTTCAATTGGGTGCAGGGAATGCCAGAATATCGCCTGGTGCGCGCGGGGCAACCATCTCCATAAAAAACAGCACTACACCATACCATGTGATTGCGGGCGCACACAGCATACAGAATGCTGACAACCCCAGTACCACTTCGCGTTTGCTTTTGACAAGAATTGTGCGGGGTCGGCATGCTTCCCGATGTGTCCGGTCACGTGTACTGGCGCACCTGGCACACACTGCAAGCGCCACGCACACGGCGCACCTGGCGCGGGTGGAGCACGTGGCACTCGTGGCCCATGAGAAATACGCGGCGCATTTGGCGCACCAGACGCGCGTGGCGATTGGGCCATCTGGCGCACCAGGCGCGCCTAGCATGCTTGGGCCCATGGGGCGACTGCGCACCTGGTGCGCTCAGCGCACCTGGCACACGCGTGGTAACTCGCACGCGTCGCGAATCTGGTGTCTGTGTTGGGTCCACAAGGCTGTCCATCCCATGGAAGCCCTTCGCTATGCTGAGACCCGGATGCTGCCTGCGTGTGGCGGGAGGGCGGGTAGGAGTGAGCGAGACGGCTTCCGGACGTCTGTCGTGATACCTTCAACACCCCTCCCCCTCCCCAAACATCCGACAAAAAATACAGCAAATGCACCGGCGGCAAAAACTGGTTATGCTCGGGCTCCCCGCGATCACGTCGTACCGTTTTTGACCGGAACTTTCGCGCAGGCCCAACATTCGTGTCCAAAACAAATGCGGACCATGTAAGCGGACGCTGCAGTAAAATACTGGACCATGCGCGGGCGCCCCGCGATCGGTTTGCCTTGCTATCTGACCAAGATAGTGGGGATGATCGCACATTGTGTAGAGTGTGCAGGCCCGCCACCCCCATCATAAACCAATGCACTGTGATCGCGGGTGCACACACCATACACCGTGCTGACCATCTGGCCGCCACTTCGCATTGGCTTTGACGAGGGTGGTGAGGGGTTGGCATGATTTCCGACGTGTGCGGTCGCGCGTGCTGGTGCGCATGGCAAACTCTACGCGCGCCGCGCACGCGGCGCACTTGGCGCGGTGGACCACGTGACATAGTTGGCGTAGGTGGACCATTTGGAGCACCAAGCGCGCCTGACGCACTTGGGCCCCTGGAGCGTTTGGCGCACATGGCACGCACGGCGCACCCAGCGAGCGTCACGTTCGTGGCGCATGGGCTCCCAATTGCTGTCCATCCAACGGCGGCCCCTGGAAATGTCGAGACTTCTGTGTTACTGACGTGGTGTGAGAAAGGAGGTGGGAGTGAGCGAAACGGTTCGAGGCTGTCTTTCTGAGTGCCTTCATCATTGCTCCAAATAAAAAAAACAGCCCCTCCCCTTCAAGGTATTGGACCATTCGCGTGGTTTGCGCGAGCAATTTGCAGTGTTGGTTGACTGGGGTGGCGAGGCGCTCGCATATCATCTGGTGCGTGCGGGTCCACCATCCTTGTGAACAACAAATGAAATGTGTTTGTAAGTGCACGTACCATACCCCATGACGACTCCGCCGTCACTTCGCATTGTTTTTGACAAGGATTGTGCGGGGTCGGCATGTTTCCCAATGCGTGCGGTCACGTGCACTGGCGCACCTGGCACACACTGCGCGCGCCGCGCACGCGGCGCACCTGGCGCGGGTGGAGCACGTGGCACTCGTGGCCCAGGAGAAGTACGTGGCGCATTTGGCGCACCAGACGCGCCTGGCATGCTTGGGTCAATGGGGGGCCTACCGCACCTGGTGCGCGTGGAGCACCTGGCGCGCGCGGCAGCGTCACGCACCGGGCGCCTGGTTTGGGGTTCACGGTCGACGGTGGTTGTCCATGCAATGGGGGCCGTTGCCAATGCTGAGACTCGGCTGCTGCTCCTGTGGGAGGGCGTGTGGCAGTGAGCGAGATGGCCAGCCTTCGGGAGGTAGCTTGACCGCTCCCTCTCGTCCCTCCCCTATGGTCGGGACAAGGTTTTGCGTGGGGTTCGGGGCCTGGAATATGGCAATGATATTGCCTTCGCAACCGCCAACACGCACAGCATAGTGAGCATGATTCAGGAGGGGTCCGTGAGCGTGAGCCGTTGAACAGACGATGTACGCTATGCTTCGGGCAAAGGTCCACATGCCATCGCGTATATTGTATCCACGCGCGGCCCCTATGCGGAACTGATGTCTCAGGACCTCAGGAGGCGGTGGATGCTCGAATGGAAGTATATATGTGGAGCCAAATGGAGATCAATGGAGTGATATGGTGACATACGGAGTCCACTGAAGTCCGATGGAGCCCAATGGAGTCCAATAGAGACCAATAAAGTCCGATGGAGTCCACCGGAGTCGTCCGGATACCAATGGGATCCAACTGTACATCATATTGCAGAAGCTGACACACGACATATGCAAGTGGTTAACGTGATGCTTGAATGCGTAGAAACATGTGTCGACTGACCTATCTATACGGGCTGGAATTACATTCGCATTTCCCGCGGGACAACCGCGAAACGACCCACGGGACGACCACGGAACAACCCAATGGGCAGCCACGGGACAACCTCAGGACCACGGGGCAACCACCAGGCCAACCACGGCAGAACCCACGCAACAACCCACGGGACAATCCATGGGACAACCACGGAACAACCCAATAGACAACAACAAGAAACCTAAAGCGACAACCCACGGGACAACCCGCTTGACAACCCAAAGGACAACCCCCGGGACAACCCCGGGTGCGACCGCGAGACTGGCGGGCAGGAACATGCTGCCCGACTTGGTCCAAGACGCTGTACCATCGGCCTTGCGGAACTTCGCTTCGCCCGCACGCATACGAGCCGAAACCTAAACCAGTCTCCAGGTTGGGGCCACTACGTGCTCACACGCCCCACCTCCGATTGCCAATGCCTTGAGGACGAAACCACCAGGTCCATGCGACATGGGGCGGAGCAACCGCGGCCAAGGATTTGCAGACAGCGAGAAGGATCCAAAGGACGGTCAACAGCAGTTGCAAGTATTCGGGCCAACGTGGTTCTCAGCTCGTCGGGTCGAGGAGCCAAATTCGCAACAACCATTACGTAGCCTGGGCGCCAATCGGGCACCCTATTGGCTAAAACAAACATGTGGAGAAATCACTGCAGAAGCCGAACTTCTCCCCAACACACGTCAGCTAGACAGCTGCGTGCCAACCAGCCTGTTCGGCAAATAGACTCCTGATGACCAATCCGCTCCCGTGGCTCCCTCTGCCGCTCTTCCCGCCGCCCTCCTCCCCAGCCTCCCTCCTCCCTCTTCACTCCCGGCGTTGCTCTGGCTCGAGATGATCTGGCAATTTACTCAGGCACGGCGCTCCCGCATGAGACTTCCTTGCAGATGCCTGAAACTTTTCTCTACTAATGGCCCCTTGGCGCCTGGAACCCCTGCTGGAGCAGAATTCCGATGACAGCCGCAATTAGAAAACTCGTTTATGGCCAGCCCTCGTCTGCCTCCTCCCTCCTCCCTCTCGGAATCAGCTGCGAGGATGTCTCGGGCGCAAAGGGCCGGCATCACCTCGCGCGCGGCATCACCGATGCCCAGAGCTACAAGGATGTTGCAGGCGAGAGGGGCAGGATCACGTCTCGCGCGTCCTCTCGGAACCCAGACAGAGTTGCGAAGTGTCTTGGGCGCAACGGGCTGGACCACCTCAAGCCCGGCCATCTTGGAAGGCATCGATGCGAGGGTATCTCGAGCGAAACGGGCTAGACCACCTTCCGCGCGGCATCTCGGAGCCCAGAATTGCGAGCATGTCTTGGGCGAAACGGGCCCGACCACCTCAATCCCAGCCATTTTGGACACGGACCAAACCACCTCGGTCCCAGCCATCTCGGAAAGCACAGTTGCAAGGATGTCTCAGGCGAAACGGACCAGACCAAGCCCAGAGTTGCGAGGATGTATTAGGCGCAACGGGCCAGACCACCTCGCGCGCGGAATGAACTCATACGGGCATTCAATAGAATCCCCTGGGCGTCTCCATTGGATCCAATGCGTATTCCATCGAAGTCCTATGGAGCCCATCGGAGTCTGCTAGAGCCTAATGGAGCCCAATGGAGCCGAATGGGGCTGAGTCCAATGGGGTCCTGAGGATCCCAATGGATTGAGTCCGAGTCCAACAGAGTCCAACGGAGCTCAATGAAGTCCAATGCAGTCAAATGAAGACGAATAGAGAGCCATGGAGCCCTTTGGACTCAAAATGAGCAAAATGGAGACCAGGGGACACCAATGGAATCCAGTGGAGTCCAATTGAGCCCGCTGGTGCCAGGTGGAATCCAGTGGGGTCTAATGGAGTCATCTGGGATCCAGAAGTGCTCAAATGAGTCCTGTGGGATCCAGTGGAGTCCTGCGGAGTCAGGTGGAGTTCAATCGTGCCCACGGGTGTAGAAAGAATCCTCTGCCGTGTACTGCAGTCCGATTGAATTCTCCATCGCTGAGATCGACAGATCATCAACTTCGACGAGTCTGCGCTCATGGCTCAGCAACGGCACGGCGCGTATGTCACAGAAGCTCGATGGAGTCCATGGAATCAGCTACGGCAGGTTCATGTCGTGACGACCCTGGCGTTGGTTTCTGACACCGCGTCGATCGTTCAACATTGAATGATCGGCGGCTTTCTGATCGCCCGATCGTTCCATGTAGGCCCATTCTGGGCCACTGACGGCGTTCAACCTTGAACGCCCGCGGCGGGGTCGCCGCCGGTCGACACGACGCGAACCCACCCTGCTCACAATCCCATGGAGCCCAGCGGAGTCCTACTCTCGGGCCCCGTGAGGGTCCAACAACACCCCGCGCTGCGCTGCCGCCGCGCTCCGAGACGGCGCGAACCTGCCGCACTCCTCCTCGGATGTCCGGGGGTGCGGGGAGGCCGATTTCGGGTCGCGCTCCTTCATGGAAGCCTGTTTGCGTCGGCGGCTGGGAAGAATAACTGCGCTGGCGATGAGCTACCTGAACGGGGGTGCCGTTGTAGCGAATTGTGTCACCATGCAGGAGGGAGGGGAAGAAGCAGCGGAGGCGGACGAAAGAGGGGCGGTGCTTCGTGGAAACAGAAGGTTCCCAGACAGACCCGACAGAATTATGTTGGTTTCTCTGTTCTGCCAACTCCAGCACACGCGTCCCCCCTTCTTGTCACTGGCACGCGGACGGACAAGGCAGTCGTCAGCTGAAACGTTCCCTCGGTCCTGTTGGGCCGCCCTGACCCTCCCCTTCGGAGGCCTCCCGAGGCATCTTGGGACTCCTAGAGACCTCCAGAGACCCCTGGAGACGCCCACGGGTGCGAACACTGCGGGCGCGAATGCTCTCGCAGTCTCCTGCCCAATGCTCTTCCTCCTCCTACAGTGGAGGCCCGACCACAACAAACCTTCCACAAGACACCCAACACTGAGACCCAGGGCGTCCACTGACTACTGGTGTGGGAACGTCTCGCGCTCCATGGCAAACCATCGAAACCCAAGAAGCCCAGGGCACCCTGGAGGCAAGCAGGGTGTTTCTTGGCATGGGCCTGCACTGAACCCAATGCTCTTCCTCCTCCTGCGTCCTCTGAGCGGACGGCAAAGAAGATCGCGCTGCAACTCTTCATCGGTGCACCCGGGGCGCTAGGGGGGGAAGGAACCAGCACTCCCTCCGACCCCCCCCCCCACCGTTGCCATCGCTCGGACGTCCATTCCCCGTGCATTTTGTTCTGTTACTCGAGTGTGTTTTTTGCGGCAAGAGAATCCAGGATGCTCCTCGAAGGTCCTCGCCGGGAAAAAAGATGCACTCGTCCGAGCAATACCAAGCCCCTGGCGCGAACGGCCGAGCGACCCAGAACGCGTGACGCTTTGGCGGCACGGCCCGCCGCCGCCGAAATCCTCGGGTCGAAGGCAGGCCGCGCCATGAGTGGCTCTCTCGGGTGGACGGCAGCGCGGGGGCAGCAAGCGTCAGGCGACCGAGGACTGCAGGAGAGTCAGAGCGTGAATTACCTCCCCCGCTTTCGCTTCCAGGCAAAACCAAGCCATACCACGCGCCTCCTCGTCAAGCGTCCTGACCAGTACAGGCCGCAATTTGGCATTGTTTGGTATCTCTTGGAAGCGAGGGTGGTCAAAAGCGAGGTAGGTTTGTTTTCCCCCGAGAGAGAGGCGCCCTGGAGGGGCCCTGAACGCCCCCCCCCGCTCCGAGAAGAACTTCACGCTGTTCACCAGCCCCTGGGGCTTCGCCCTGGGCGCGGCGGCGCGGGGCCGCCGCAGGAGCGCGGCGGCGGCGCGGGGCGGCCCCGTGCGGGCCCCAGCCGCTCCCGCCCGGCGGCTGCGCCTCTGCCGCTCGCGCTCCCGCCGCGGCGGCAGAGGGCCATAACGGTCATCACGGCCGCTGGTGGGAATCATGGCGCCCTTGGGCGAGAACTGACGGGGGGCGATCCATGAAACGGGGGGGGGGGGGGAGAAACCCTTTTCGGGCCCCAGAGGCTTGGGGCCCCAGTGGGCCCCTTTCAGGAGCCCTGAGGGGGCCCTTTTCTGCAGCCCTCGCTGCCCCCCCACTCATCGCTCACCCATTGCGCGCCCCTCAACGCCCCGTCCCTGTCAATGCCCGGGGTCCCCTTGACTCCCGAGCTTCGCACCGTCCTCCCTCGCTCGCTCTTATTGTACATGTTCCCTCCCCCCTCATGTCTCTCATCCTCAATCCAAATCGTGGTGCCACGGGAAGCAAAGAAATATGGGCCCTGGTCAGGCGCAGCGGCCTTGATCTAGCGAGTTCCCAATGCCACGTCTCCCCACGCACCTCAACATACTTCACATCCGTCCCGTCCAGTCACACCCTCCCCTGTCTTACCCTCCAGCCCATCCCGCCATGTGTCCGCTCATCCCCTGCTCCCCTCCTGTCCTATCTCCCCCCCCTGCTCCTCTCCTCCCACTCCTCTCCCCCGCCTGTGGTCCTACCTACTCTCAGCGGCTCCTCGTCCCCTTCCACCTCGAAGCTGGAGGACAGCGCCAAGCAACGCCGAGCAAAGCAAAGAAATGCCACGCAGGGCCAAGCAAGGCCACGCAATGCCAAGAAATCTGCCGACCCAGTCGAACAGTCGCCGCCCAGAATGCTGGGCTGGCACGGGGGCGGGACTTGCCGCAGGCACCTGGATCCGCCGCCCCCTGCTTGCAGGGGTGCACGGCGTGCTGGACGTTTCAGGTTTTGGTTTTGGTTCTTTTTCCAAAAGAACTTCCCAGTGGGCTCCGGCAGAACCCGCCGGCCACCCGGAATTTCCCCAAACGTGCTCAACGACCGCAAAAAATCCTCCAAGAACGGCCGTTTCGCTCGGGACATCCTCAAAAAATCGCGAAGATGGCCCAAGATGGCCTCCAAGTCCGCCCGAGATGGTCCAAGACGGCCTCCAAAACGGCCCAAGAGAGTCCAAGACGGCCCAAGACGGCCCAAGAGGCCCCCCAGAGGCCTCCCAGACGGCCCAAGAGGCCTCCAAGAGGTCCTCCAGGAGAGTCCGAAGAGGCCAAAATCATTGATTTTCCCTTGGTTTTTGAAGGATTTTGGCATTTGCGCCTTTTCGGCTCTCCGACGGCTCAAGACGGCCCAAGAAGCCCCCAAGATCGCCCAAGAGGCCCCCAAGAGAGCCCCATGATGGCCCAAGTGGCCTCCAAGATGGCCCCTAGAGGGCCCCAAGAGGGCCCAAGAGGCCTCCAACACGCCCAAGATGGCCTCCAAGACGCCCAAGATGGCCTCCAAGACGGCCCTGGAGCGCCCCAAGAGGGTCCCCCGTTGGCCCAGAAAGGCCCCCAAAACGGCTCCCGACGGCGTCAGACGTGCCAGGAACCCACCAAGATGGCCGAAGTTGGCTCGAAGCTGGCCCAAAAGGGCCCAAGAGGCCCCCAAGAGGGCCTCCAGGAAGGCCAAAAGATGCCAAAATCACTGATTTTCCTAAGGTTTTTGATGGATTTGGGCATTTCCCTTTTTTCGGCCTTCCGACGGCCCGAGACGGCCCAAGAGCCCCCAAAGATCGCCGAAAGATCGCCCAAGAGGCCTCCAAGACGGCGACGATGACCATCAAGACGCCCACGTGTTCCCCGAAGGCTTTCCAAACCGATTCGGGGAACACATGGTCCGATGGCTTGGCAGGTCTGGCCTCAACGTTCGGCCACATAGGCGCTTCCACAAAGGCAGGGGGCGGCGGTGATTCGCCGTAGGCGTCTTCGATACACAAAATCCTGGCAAACAAAACGACGTCGAGGGTCTGGGCCTCCGGGCATCACTGGAAGACCCCGGAGCCCCAGGAAGGGCCAAGACTGCCTGGAAGCCTCCCTCCATCTTCCACCTGCCCCTCTCCCCCTCTCCCCCTCTCCCTGCCCTGCCCTGCCCTCCCCCGCCCACACCGCCCCCCCAACCCTCCCCCGCGGCGCTTCTGTATGCGGATCCGCGTCATCGCGTCTCCCTGCCGGATCTCCTGGCTGGTGCGAGGAGGAGGAGGAGGAGGGGGAGGAGCAGGAGGAGGAGGAGCAGGAGGAGGAGCAGGAGGAGGAGGAGGAGGAGGAGGATGAGGACGACGACGACGACGAGGAGGAGGAGCAGGAGGAGGAGGAGGAGGAGCCACTCTGGCGCCCGGGGGGCGGGCAGAGGGTCGAAGGTCGAGGCTCGAAGGCAGAGGAGCGAAGCTCAGGCAGGCGGCAGGTCGGCTCTGATGCGTGCAGGATGGGCACAGGCAGGTTGACAGGTTGCGTGGATCTGCGCGGCGCGAGGAACCGCCGATCCTTCGGTGCGTGGAAGGCGCGGTTGTCGTCGTCCTGGTCGTCGTCCTCGTCGTCGTCGTAACGTCCTTGGAAGTCGAAGCACAGGGGGAAGGAACGTCGTACTTAGATCGCACGGAATCGGGGGGGCAGAACGGGTTCGGAAGGAGATGCGGGGGAAGGGGGGTCCCGGGGGGCCCAAGGGGGGGTCGCCAGCTGGGGTCCTGGGGAGGTCCCGCCTTCATAGTCCGCGGCACCAGCCGTCGATGCGCAAGCTGTCCCCCACGGCATACATTTTTGGAATCGCACGCCCACGACTCCTGACGAACGACAATCAAGGCAACGCTACGACCGACCTCTGGGCGGGCGAAGGAGGGAGGCGGAGAAGGAGAATGGGGAGAGAACGGGGAAAAATGCCGAAGGCACGGGTAGAGTGGTGAGGAAGGAGGACCACGACGAGGAACTCGCCGAGGGAGGAAAGAAGGCAGCAGGAGAAGTGTGAGATGAGGTGGATTACACATGTTACAGCCATCGCGTAGCGATAGTGCACATTCGAGCAACGCACCCTGACCTTGAAAACCAGCGGGAGGAAAAGCAACGCGAGGCGCCCGAACTGGAGGAAAATCTTCACGCAGACTGCATGCGACCGCTGTGAAAGCCGTAGCGCCCATTAGACTGCGACACACACACACACACACACACCGCCACCACCATAAACAAACAGAACACACCAGAGCACAGCGAGTTAGGTGAATGATGCGTTGAAACTGAAGGAAGGCCTTCACCTTCTTAATCCAAGATAAGAACCTCATGTACCTCAGAAACTTCCCCGCACGAGCAGATGTCAGGGGGACGTAAGACCTGGGTACAGGGGACTCGGAAATCCCCGACGAGGTCGTCAAAAAAATGACGAGGCCGAGCCTGCATTTTGACGAGGCCTCCCGCTGCAGACATCCCACGAAACTCCTCCTCGTCAAAATCCGAGGCGCGGTCGTCAAAAAACGATGGCGAACCCGAGTCCTGGCAAACCCGGGTCTTACGCTCCCCCGAAGATGGCAACCAGAACGTAAAATGAATTACGCGAGGGGGGGCGCAGCCGACAGGAGGAAAGATCAAGCCCACGGAGAATGTCCAGGCATGTGCGAAGCCGCGGCGCCACGTCCACATATCGTGAACAAGACACCTCCAACACCACCAACGCGCGCCAATGCCAAACTTACGAGCACGACGTGGCACGAAGCACGATACTGAAAACTTTTGGAAGCTTTGGACCAAGCACGTAAGGAATATCTGCCCGCCTCCTGATACGCCCAGTGCCACGAGGGACCGAAAAAGCAGATGGAAACCAAGTGCGAAGCACCACCAAATACAAACTGCAATACTCCCCAAGCGGGGATGGGAGATGCCGGCGCTGTAAGCGGTAATGCCTGACCCCAGCTGGACGCGGCACAGATAAGAGAGGTACACTCCCCTTGCAGCGGTGGGGGGATACCCGCACTGAAGCTGAATGGACCAGGCCAGGCCCCAGCGTTGAGGCTGATGGTAAGCTGCACCCACCACTAGACGACGAGAATCTGCACCCCGCCTGGCCGCCACAGTGCATGCTACCACTCTTTACTTTATGAAGCAAGCTTCATAAGCGAAGTGCAATGTGGCAGAGCACACTGAAATACAGCAAATGTGATACAAAACAACAGCAGATAAAAGTAAACCAGAATGCACGATAACAAACTCCTGCTGAACATTATACTTGAATTCGCCCATTCTTGCCATCCCCCACCAACAACCTCCGACAAATGCGAAAAGGAGTATGCAAGATTATGTGGTGGGAGCCCCTCAAGCGCCACGCGAAGGCAATGGGCTGGGCACCCCATAGCTAGCTCGAGCCCCGAGGCGTACGATGCCTTGGGCCGCCCGTGCTTGAGGGGAAGACGAGGTAGATGAGAAAGCAGGAGGAAGCGAGAGGAAAAAGAAGGGGGAGGAAGAGGAGAGCAATACATGTTCTCGACTTCCTGACAACACCGCCAACAACCGCTGGACAGTCGGTGATCCTCCGCCGGCTGCGACGGCCATTGGCCCACCGCAGAGGCGGAGACAAGGGGCGAGGAATTGGTAAACATCGGGCCTTCTACAGACATACGCAGAACAAGATGTGGAGCCTTCTCTTGCGCAGCTCGCAGCGACCCCCCAGGGGCAATACGGGGCGCGGCCCCGACTGCGCCATACGCCGAGCGCTTGCCTGGCTCCGACTTCCCTGGGCGACTGCCCCACGAGGTGGTGTGCGCGCCGCCCCCCCCCCCCCCCCATGGTGAGTCGCCCGCCGTCCTCCCGCTCAGGAGGAACCCATCCCCCAAGGTAGGCCCCCTTTGTTCCTCAAGCGACTGTGCACCGATCGGGTGCCTCCTCCCGCGCGCTGCCCCCGAAAGTGGCATGTCTCTCTCCTCGCCCTGCGTCATGACCTGGCTGCCGCGTCCACCCCTGGAGGTGGCTTCTCTTGCTCGTCCCCTGGCTGGAGCGTCCACCCTCAAGGTGGGTGCCCCCCGCAGAAGGACGTGCACCGACGAGGTGCGGCTGTGCCGGTGACGTGCTGGAGGTGCCCGGGTGGAGCTGCCAGCCGGCCGTGCTGCGCGCCTGCTGCTGCCCTTCGCGCCGCCCCCCCGCTGCGGCATCGACAGCCTGCACCGCCTCTTGCCGGGCCGCCCGCCCCGCTGCTCTTGCAGCTGGGCGCCCCTGCCTGGCCAGCCCTGCGGCCGGGCGCCCCTGCGATGCGCGCGCCAGCCGGGCCGGTGGCTCCTCCCCTCACCCTGCTCCTGCCGCCCACCGCCGCCGTGGCGATCCCTGGCGTTGGCGGGTGGATCCTCCCTGGCGTTTGCGAGTGGCGATTCCTGGCGTTGAGGGCGCTGCGTTTTGTGGCTCTCGCCTCAGCGCCGCGCACACTCGAGTCAAAAAAATGCGAGATTCACAGATTGACGGCGGGTGGTTCTCAAAATGTAGCTCTCGCCTTAGCGCAGCGCACCTTCGCCATCAAAAATTGCAAGAGCTTCACGGATTGAGGGCAGCTCGTGTTCAAAATGGCTCTCGCCTGAGCGCCTCGCACATTCGCTTCAAACACTTATGATAATTTCACGGATTGACGGCGAGTGGTTTTCAAAATGCGTCTCTCGCCTTAAGCTGTTGTACAAGAATTTCACGGGCTAGCATGATCAAGTACTAAAAACAGCGTTCTGGCAGGGTTCAGGATTACGAGGGAACAAGAATTACATTGATTCGCGGTGTTGAAGTCCCCGGGATGGTGTTCTGGCACGGTACAAGATCGTCAAGACGCAACAGTCACGTTGATCAATGGCGTTGGGGTGCTGAGAATGGAGTTTTGCCATGCTTCGGGTCTTCAACCGGTTGTCTCCCAGCGAGGCAGTTCAGTCAGTGGAAATGAACCTTGTGGGGGCCTATGAAGAGGGAGCTTGAGGGATGGTCTATTCCAACATCGTTGATGAGTCTTCGGTTGACGCTGGTCCTCCTGCCGCGTCGACCTGTCGAGCCTGCGCGGCCGCGACGCCGCCTTCCCAACACCCCGAAAGACGTCTTGTGTGATGTCAGAGGTGGCAACGGCGAGCTGGATGCAAGATTTGGCACCTCCGAAAAATTGGGCAGATGGGGCCCATGCATCGGCACCACCAGCCAAACAGCCCACCAAGACGAAAGGAAACAAGGAGAAGAAGGGCGACCTGTACGACGCGCTGGTGAAGGTGGTCGCCAAGCTACGCCTCAACAACGCACGAGAGCTGGCGAACCTCGCGGGCACGGTGTTCCAGACGAGGGAGATGGTGGAAAAACCGCAGTCCGCTTCCCAAATACGACGACGTCTCAAAAAGCCTAAAAAGGAGCGACATATGAACAGAGAGACAGTCGACTCTTGGGCGCGCGGACCACCACATGTGCAGGTATGGGCCGCGGTGAGCGTGCACCTCAACAATCACATGGACTCCTTTCTCGACGGCAGCGAGACCTTCAAGAAGAGCGAGGAGGAGGTGTTCACCGCGTACTTTCAGAAGCACGCCCTAGCAAGACGCCACACGAGGTGGCGACCGCTACCGCGAGTACAAGGCCAAGAAGGGCCAGCAGGACAAGGGGGGTGCTCAGGGCAGCCAGGGCAACGCTGACACGAAGAAGGGCAGACAGGCGTTCGCCTTCTCGCACGACGAGACAGGGAGGGAGGCGCGGATGGTGCTGTCCCACTTCCTCAAGAACGCAGAAGTGTCCAAGGCGACGCAACTCGTGGGGCTGGCCCCGCGAGGGCCGTTCGAGCGCGAGGCGGCGAGGCTTCCCTCCCTGATCGAGAAAGGCGCCTAAGAGCAGGTGGTCTGAACCGGGCCGACGGCGCGGCCAGAGGACGAAGCCGATCTCGAGATGGCACTCGGGCAATGCAACATCTGAGTAGAGGAGCGTTTGCGGGTAGTCAGAGGCGTGTGACTTTAGTGTCCCGAAGAGATATCCCCGATACTTCTAGAGCCACGATAAAGATTCGAACCCACGGTAGATCTAGTCACGAGTCGGCCCCCTAGACGGCCCCCTTAGTGCACACGCGCGGCGCCCAGGGTTCGCCGTCGTTCGGGGGCAGTGCTGGCTCTGCCAGGGGGGGGGGTCCCTGTCCGTTGTAAGGTTGACCCGCTACCATCAGTAGTTGGGTCGCGCAGAGTCCTTTGCCAGTTTTATAGCGCGAGGCTTGAGATACTCATTTGGACTCCCCGCGCACTGCGCATTGCTCATTGATCCTCCTCCTCCTCCTCCTCCCCTTCATCCCCTCTTTCCTACCCCTGCTCCTCGCCCTCGCGCTCCACCTCCTGCTCATCCTCCTCCGCCGTCCGTAGCCATTTTGGCTCAAGATGTCCGATTCCCTCGGGGTCAGAGTGGAGACCTCTGATCCGAGGACAGCAACCGACAGTTTTCAGCTCCAGGGAAGCGCACCCCCCTGGAGTGCCGAGAGTGCCCCTGCCGCGGCGTGCGGCTGCGCGAGTTCTGCCACCAGAGTCTGGAGTTGGGTTCCAGGGTCACGATGGCGGGCGACGGCGCAGGAACGCTGCTGTTCGGGCCCAAGCGGCCGCATTGGGGGTGCTCCCGCTGCGGCACGGCCAACAACTGGGCCTGTCGCCTGCAGCGCCGATGCGAGGCGCGCGCGCCGCAGCGGGTCATCACCAAGGCCAGACCGGAGGGAAGAAACTCAAAGCCGCCGACAACCCGAAGGGGCAGCCTCCTTCGCGCAGCGGTGGCAACGGCGGAGGCAGGCTTGATTCGTCACAGCTGGCGCCATGGGCCTCGTCGAAGCTCGAGAAGGAGTTGGTGGCGCTGCGCAAGCAGGTCCAGCAGCTCAAGATGGAGAAGAACAAGGACCCTGCCCCACCTCAGGCAGCCCCCACTGGCGTGTCTGATGCGGCCATGGAGGTTGATGAAGGCTCGGCAGGGGCCAAGGACACGACGGCGACGGCGTTGCAGCGGAGTGCTATTCAGAACAAGATCGGCCACTACGAGCTGTTCGTCAAGTCCCTCGCCCTCTATGAAGACAATGAAGCTGAGCAGCTACAGACGGCCAAGAAGCAGCTGGAAGTGCTTCGAGTTCAGCTACGCGAGCTACGTCCGCCGTCCACGGCGCACAAGGTCGCAACGCAGAAGCTCGAGCGCTGCCGTACCCAGCTCGATCGCTACCGCACCGAGGCTGCTGACCGACGCGAGAAGATCGCTAAGTGACAAGAGGAGTTGGACACGAAAGAGGCCGCCATCGTTCAGAAGGAGGCTGAGATTGTCCAGCTCACCATGGAGGTGCGCACCTGTGCCGAGGGGCTGTCGAAGCAGCGCGGCGAGCCCGTCACGGCGGCGGCGAACCCTGCGTCCGCCTCCGTGCTCTCGCCCGACTTCTTGCAAGTGGATATGCCCGAGCTTGAAGGCCAGCCTGACCTCAAGCTCTTCTACCAGCAGTTCACCACTGACCCAAGGTTCAGCTCGCCCCAGCAGATGCTGGCCAAGCACGTCAAGGTCAGCATGGTGCCGCAGCAGCCGTCTCTTGTTCAGCCTGCTGGTGGCACTGATGATGTTCGTGAGCTGGACGACAAGGCTGATGTCGTCAAGCGCGGAGCCGAGCCCACACTCGGCATGGATGACGTTCGACAGATGTACGAGGAGTTCAAGAAGGCAGGCACTGTCACAGGCGAATCTAGGAGCAGCTGGTTGCACGGTTGCATGAGCTCGTCGATGACATGCACAAGGCCAAGCGTGGCCGCCTCGCCCAGCCTGCCACTGCAAGCGTGGGGTGTGCCTCACCACCAGCCCCGCGTGAGCGGGCTGCGGCTGCGACGAGGCGAGCTCCTACGTGCTGATGCGCCGCTGAGCTCCCAGCAGTCGCACTTGCTCGAGACCTTCAATGCCAATGAGGGAAAACCCACTCTGAAGCGACGGCTTGAACGGACGCAGGCGCTGGTGGTGCTAGTTCAGGAGACTGGATATCATGGGCATGAAGTTGAGGAGCTTCAATCTTGGGCAGGCGCCCGTGGCTGGCAAGTGGTTGCCGTTGCAGGCAGTCCGACCGAAGGTTACCTGCCTGCCGCTGGCGTGGCGGTCTTCGCTCGCAGCGAGGTCGGGCTGCGCTGGCCTGATGGCTACAGCTCGTCGACGTTGGTGCCGCAGCGTGCCCAGCACGTCATTGTTGATTTACCTGGATGGGAGCCAATTCGTATCTTCAATATCTATTTGCATACGGCTGAGGGCATGACGGCGCGCAATGCGCGTATCCTGTGCTCTGTAGGCGAAGCCATGTCTGGCATTCTCGCCCCGTGCATCATCGGCGGCGACTGGAACATGCCTGCCAGTGAGGTGGAGGACTCCACTTTCCCAGCCCACGCGCAGGTCAGCTTGGTAGTTCCGACGGCTATCACATGCCGCACTGCCCGCTCGTGTTCCACGATAGATTTCTTTGCGTTGAGTTCTGCAGCGATGCGCTCGCTTAAGTGTGTTTCAGCAGATATGGCGTGGTCAATCAAGCCTCATCGACCTGTTCAGTTGCAGCTTGCAGTTGATGGGCAGTCCCTGCAGTACCTTGCTTACGGCATGGCGCCTAAGATCCCTGGCGTGCAGGTTCACGGGCCACACTGCGAAGACTCGTCCTGGGCCACTGAGGCGTCCTATGCTGAGCATGCGGTGGAGTTGGCCAAGCACCAACGCGCTGACGGCGCCTGGGGTTTTCTGTCAACAGCTTGGGCCAAGTTCGTAGTACGCGCAGCTTAGAGGCTTTCGCATGTCACCGCCACAGACATTAAGGACTTCAACTCCTTCGCCAGGTGCCCTACGCCAAGGTGGGTGGAGGTCGGCTATGAGGCCAAGGATCCCGAAGGTGTTCAAGCCCGCGCCGAGGGCTGGCGGCGGCTTCACAATGCTATCACCTACATCATCCAGCTGGGCGAGGGCGCCTCTGTCAGGCCTACTAGTGGCCAGCCAGCTTCGACGGTTTCGTTGGCGACAAGAGCAGTTCCGCGCCCACAACCTGCAGCTGGTCACGCCATGGACGTTGAGGACCACGACCCGTTCGAGGACCTGGCTGCAGATCTGGATGACAGTGATACTACTCAGAATGGGAAACGGTCTAACATCGGATCCAGGCCATACGCCAGCTCCCACCCCCCTGCTGCGTCTTGTGGGCAGGATGGCAGTCTCGGTCCGACCCCTGGCGGCGGCACGGCGCCGTTGCTGGATGCAGCTTGTCTAAACTCGGCGCCTGATGTGCACAGACAGCGTGATGGCTCCTCCGCTAGCCAGCTGGCGCGAGAGATCGAGTCTTTCCAGGCGCTGGTCTACGTCGGCCAGGGGCTCAACCACAGGCTCGACGCCACCGTGGAGCAAGCCCGCAGGCTCGCCGCCCACGCGCCGCTTCGCATTGACAACCTGCGCGAGCTGCTGGCCGACATCGAGGAGGACCTCCAGGCCGTCAACCAGGAGGCAGGCCGAGACAGCAGCAGTCGCTGGAAGGCGTGGTGTGACCAAGCTAGCGCTGGCGGTGCTCGTGGCCTCCACCGCGTCACCAAGGTCAAGGATGCGCAGCAGCCGACTGTTGTTCGCGGAACCCGAGGTGCCACTGCTCATCCTCATCACGTTGTTCGGGACATGGAGAAATCCTACATGGACGCGTGGCATGGATCAGCGCAGGCGCAACGTGCTCGCGTTCCTGATCGTGCGCCCCTGCCGAGAGCCACGCCTGAGCAGATCAGAATGGCTGCGAAGTCCTTTCCGTCGCCGACCGCCAGCAGCCTGGACGGCATCCACCCGCGCTGCTTCGCGCTCCTCAGTGATGATGCGCTCAACGTGCTGAGCGCCCTATGGGGGGCGACAGAAGCGCTCGGCTTGCTGCCGAAGCAGTTGCAGTGGATCCCCCTCCCCATGCTCCCTAAGCCGACTGGCGGGCACAGGCTGATTGTGATCTACGCTGCCAGCTACCGCGTCTGGCAGCGCGCCAAGCGAGTGCATTTGGAACCTCTGCAGCAGTTTCTTGATCGCAAGTACTGGGGTGTCTCCACTGGCAGGCCGGCGATCGACAACGCTTGGGCGATGGCGGCACGGACTGAAGTGGCCGCGTCTACCCAGATGCATTCTGTCACGCTGGTGGCTGACTATTCGAAGTATTATGAGGGGATTAACCTTGACGAGCTGCAGTTGAAGTTCGACCAGATGCAGGCGCCCACTGGTTGCACTAAGCTCATCTTCAATACGCGGCGAGGCCCGCGGATCATTAGGTCTCAACGTGTGCCTTCACCCGCTGGCGTCTGTTTTTCCAAATATATTGACGACGCGGCGATTGGCCTGCATCACGCCGATCCGCAGCGTGTCATCCAGCTTGCCGCCCAGGCTGGGCGTGATTTTCAGCAGGTGGCCAAGAGGCTTGGATCTCGTACCAATGACAAATGTGCCATCGTCGCTTCTAGTGCTGCGCTTGGGCGAGAAGTTGCACTGCAGCTAAATGTGTCTGAGGAAGCGGCAGTCAGGCGCGTTGTCTCCGACCTAGGCGTCGACTACGCAGCGGGTCGCGCCCGTCAGGCCCCAGGAGCTCGTGCCAAGCAGCGAGCTCGCCTGGCTCGGCACAGGAGGCGGATGCGCGAGATATCCAAGCACAAGAAGGCGATTCCTGTGAAGAAGGACCTTCGCCTAGACAGGATCTACCGCACTGGCGCGCGCCCTGCATGCACGTACGGAGTAGAAGTCAATGGCCTGACTGATGCACAGCTCGGTGATCTTCGCCGTGCTGATGGGCGCCAGGTCAAGCCTTACCACGGGGGTGCGTCGGCCACGGCCAAGCTGGCGCTGGACGGTGACCCCGCCATCCGACAGGCGATCGCGCCAGTCATTCAGTACAGCCGCATGATGTGGGAAGCTATTACACGTCCTGAGCGCGCGCTTGCATCGCAGAAAGATCTCTTGCTTTGGTGGGGCTCTGCTGTTACTTTCTTGGGCCGCCCTTTCAGCTGGGCTAAGTCACGAGGGCCACTGGAGCGAGCGGCTCTGTGTCTTGAGCGCGTCGGCTGGACCACACGCAGCGGTGCCCTCGGGCGTGACCATGTGGATCAAGAGGTTCGTGTCGACCAGCTTCCACCAGCCGTAGTTGAGGACCTGCGCAGTGCGGCGACGCAGCGGATGCTTGAATGTCATCTTGCTGACAAATGGGAGTTGCCTGCTGGAGTTCGTGTCACGTTCGACCTCATTCAGGGCGCGGTCCGCGAGCGCTCGGCCAAGTACGCCAAGTATCAGAAGTTCCTCATTCGTTCTTGTGCACGCGAAGGAGTGTGGACACGACAGCGGGCACGAGAGCGCGGGTACGACACCAACGGCCTCTGCAGTTGCGGGCAGCCTGATACTGTCCACCACAGGCTCTACTCCTGCACGCGAGCTGACGTAGTCGCGGCTCGGTCTAACAGCGGAGCCAGCCCGACGTTCATCCAGGAGGGTCACGAAGCTGATGGGGATCTGCGCTACGTCACGGGGGCATTCGCCTACGAGGAACGTCTGCTGCCACCGCTTGATAGCGGCACGACTGTCCACCTTCTCGATGCTGATGGTCATGAGGCAAATTGTGAGCCTGAGACTCTCTGCAACATCATTGCCCCCAGCGTCCCGCCCGTGGAGATTGCAGTGGACGGCTCTTGCAGTGTGCCGCTCCTTGCAGCTGCTCGCCGCGCTGGCTGGGCTTTGGCGCTGCTGGACCCGTGCGGCAACCAGCCGCTCCGAGTGATGTACGGTGCAGTCCCTGGCTCCCTGCCGCAGCGATCAGCCATGGCTGGGCACTTGGCACTCGCATACGTCGGGCAAGTGGTAGACAGGCCGACGGACGTCCTCGCTGACTACATGGCTGCTGTGATTGAGGCCACCAAGAGCCCCGAACAGCAGCTGCGACCTGGTGCGCGATATGGTTGTGTCAAGCTTTTTGGTCAACAGATGCCTGGATTTCATCACATTCGGTCCGTGTCGCACGTGAAGGCACATCGCTCTGCTGACCAGTATGCTCAGTTGTCTGAGGTTGATACGCGTCTCACTGACGCCAATGTTGTTGCTGACGTCTTCGCCAAGCGCGCGGTCCAGCTGCATGAGCCCGTGCCGCATGAGCTTGATGAGCAGCTCGAGACTGGGCTGCGCATCGCGAATGGTTTCGTGTCTTTGGCCGCCGCCGTGCTGCCGCTTTTCGACAGAGAGGAGCGTTGGGCACGAGTGTCGGTGGCACAGCGCGCTGCACACATTCAGCGCACTCGTTGGCATGACTGGCGTCGCACTGTGATAGGCGAGCAATGTAGCAAGTGTTTGTGTTTAGCACATGACACGCATGACAAGCCCCTCTCAGGACGTAGGGGCATGCCCAAGTATCTTGACAGTTTTGTGCGTACCCCTCTAGGTCACACACTTGTAGCTGTGAATCAGGGGGGTAAGGCCCCTGCGTGCCCAGGTTGCTGCCGCCCAGTGCATGTGTGTACTAAGTGCGGTGCCTGGGCTCAGCAGTCCAGGGGGAGCAAATTAAGACGACCTTGCGAGCCCCCCACCAGGAAGGGGCTTGAGGTCCTTGCGAATTTACGTAACGGAGTTGGCCCCCACAGGGGGCTCGCTCGCCAGGTTGACGCCGCCCTCCCAGCTCTTCAGTCCGTGTCTGGTGCTGTGAGGCGTCCCGAGCTTGAGACCACACGCGTTTCCAGGGCTCCTGTGCCCGAGGGCCCCCCGACCTACGAGTCCAGGATGGCTGCCCTCGCCGAGAGAATTCGTCTGAAAGAGCAGGCTGCCTCAAGGTAGTCTGTTTTCATGCCTGGCAAAGTCGCCGAAGGTTGTGCATTGTTTTGCACGCGCCAGGGCCCAGAGCTGCTGGCGTGATCAGGTTGAGCCGCCATCCTCCTCGGAGTTTCAGCATTCAGCATTCATCCTCCTCCGCCTCCATATCCTTCTCCTCTTCCTCCTCGTCATCCTCATCATCACCATGATCAGCATCAGCATCATCATCAGCATCAGCATCATTATCAGCATCAGCATCATCATCATCATTACCATCAGCATCAGCATCATCAGCATCATCATCAGCAGCATCGTCAGCAACATCATCATCAGCATCATCATCATCAGCCGTCTCATCTTCGTCCTCCGTCACTTCTTTCCCTGCGTCAGCGTTCCTCGTTATTCTTCCCCGCGAGGTGAGCCCAGGTCGGAGGGGGAGGACGGGGAAGGGAAGTGGGGAGGGGGCGCGGCTCACCAAGCAGCAACAGGGGGGCGGGAGAGGAGAGGTCGCAAGGGCACCGGCGAGGTAGGTCCTTGTTGGCCCATGTGTACTGGAATGCGTTAGCGCGCTGGAAATCCTGCCACCCCACGCGCCGTGCGCCTCTCTACATCTCTCTCTCTCTCTCTCTCTCTCCCTCGCGCTTTCATTGTTGTTTGTCTCTCTCTCTCTCTCTCTCTCGTTGTATAGAAATAAATAAATCTATATATATATATGTGTGCATGCACGCATGCATACATACACATGTGTATGCATATGTATGAATACACAAATAATTATATACTTGTATATATAGAGAGAGCGAGAGAGAGAGATGCTCATCACCCTTTCTCAACCAAAATGCTCGTCGCGGCGCTTGCTCCGTGCGCGCAACTGACCCGCGGTCCGCACCGTTGCGCCCGACACACGCGGCATGTCGCTCACTCTGTCTCTCTCTCTATGTCTGTGTGTCTGTCTGTCTATCTGTCTCTCGCTCTGTCTCTCTTGTTTTCTAAACCTTTATCCTCTGTTTGTCTGCCCTTCAGATCATCCATGCACCCAGGGACAATGAATGACCGCTCGGTCCCCTCACTCTGACAATAGCATATACACACGTATGTGTAGGTGTAGATATGTGTATCGCTTAGCGCGCGCTATGTGAATATACATCTACAACTATGCATAGATACATGCATGTGTACACACGTACAGACATGTAGAATTCGACGCGTGTAGGCATGAGTCAGACGGGGTATGGTAAGCCGTCCCATAAATTACGACTTAAGTGTACGATAGCATCCTTTACGTTATCCCTGCAACAGGTATGAGTAGGTAGATATGAAATAAAATATATGATCGGAGAGTGCATCGTCGAAAGATGTGGACGTCTGCTTTCCCGTTACTCGGACGCACTTGTACCTCGAAGCAAGGTTGTCAAATAGAGCGGCGCCGCTTAAGGTACAAACGGTGGTGGGGGCCTCTTGGCCCGTCTTGGGGGCGGTCTTTGGGGCCTCTTGGGCCGTCTTGGAACACCACGAAAATTGAGAAACAATAAAAAAGAATCAAAGACCTTTGCCCATCGGGGCACTCGTCTGGGGTCTCGGGCTCCCGCTTGATCCTGCACGGGGCCGTCCTGGTGCAGCCTGGTAGCCTTCGGAGGCCGTTCACAAAGCATCTTCGGCGCTCTCGGGGTTTGGTGGACCGGTCCGGTAGACTGTCGCACTAATTTGTGGGCCATCTGTGCGCTCACGGGGCCACTTTGGGGGCCACGAGGGTGCCCATGGGGCCCCTGGGATGGCCATGCGTAATTACCCGTGGCCCTGGTCCCAGGCCCGCCCGCGGTCTACTCCGATATATATATATATATGTATATATACACACATATGCGTATATAGATACATGTATGTATATGTATATATGGTTGTACGTATATATGTGTTTACGTATATGTACACATATACACATGAGAATGCAATTATACGCATGTCATATACATGTGTTCAAATATGCGTATATGTGTGCACGGTTGTGTGAATATATATGTGTGTACATGTGTATCTATATATATATATATTAACACAAACCTATACAGATGTGTATATACATGCGCTTGTGCTCAAGGGCCTCCTACGTCCGACCCACAGACTTCAAGGTTCCCACTAGCCGAGCGACGCTCTGCGAGTTGGCCCGAAAGCGCACCGCCAAAATTCGATGCCAACACCACCTCCATTAGCAGAACACCCCTTCACTCACTCACTCAAAACCGTACCTGACGTGCGGGCCCCACCCCAATTAGCAAGTATGTCTCACCGTTGAACGAGGGGAAATGAGGGATCCTAGATTAGAAAACCATGCAGCCGACGTTAGCGTGGCCATGCCTTCTGGCTTGCCCGAGAAAACATACGCGTATGCTCACATGTCAGGCACAGGCATGGAAAGAAACGGAAAGGGGCAAGGAGAGAGTTGAGAGCATGGAGGAGAGCGGATGGGAACATCTGGGGCAAAAGGCTGACATAATATGGAAAATTGATCAGCAAACATAGTATATCACCTTAGAAGTAAAGAGGAGAGGAAGACACATCAATCCATATATGCGAGGACTGCCTTGGGGATGAAGAGCAGGCATGATAAATAAGAGGGCCCTCCGACCATGAAGTTCATGAAAACGTAACCCCGGTTCATGCCGCTGCTGTCGTCCTCACGTGACGATGGCGCCAGGGCAATGCTCATCTCCCTCTTAACCCGCCTCTTCCTCCTCCTCCTTCTCCTCCTCCTGCTGCTCCTCCTCCTCGTCCTCCTCATGTCCCTCCTAGACCCTCCTCCCTCCTGCTCGTCCCCAGCGCGAACTGCATGGAGCCGACGGCATCCTGCACCTCCTGACGTACCAGAAGTCCTGTTGTTTAAATCGATCCAGGATTGTCAGGGCGCAACAGCTACGATGATCCGTTATGTTGAAGTCCAGAGAGCAGCGCTCCAGCACAATTCAGGATCGTCAACGGCGCAACAGTCAGGTTGATTTGTGTCGTGGAAGTTCCGAGAATTGTGTTTCGGCACGACGCTTCAGGATCTGCCAACGGACCTCTCCCAACGGGGCGAACCCTCATATGAATCTGAGAAGAGGAAGCTTAGAGGAAGGATGTCTTCTAACATCCTTGATGAGTCTTGGGTTTGCACTGTTTTTCTGTTCCTCATCCTGCTCCTCCGCGTCCGCCTCCTTCTCCTCCTCGTCCTCCTCCTCCGCCTCCTCTTCCTCCTCCTCCTCCTCCTCCTCCTCCTCCTCTCCTCCTCCTCCGCCACCGCCGCCTGCTCTGCCGCCTCATCCTCGTCATCCTCCTCTTCTCCTCCTCCTCATCCTCATCCTCCTCCTCCTCCTCATCATCCTTCTCACCTTCCTGCTCCTCCTCCTCCTCCTCCTCCTCCTCCTCCTCCTCCTCCTCATTAGCAGCATCGACATCATCAGCATCCGCATCATCAGCATCATCATCACCATCAGCATCAGCATCAGCATCATCAGCATCATCATCAGCATCAGCAGCATCATCAACAGCAGCACAATCAGCATCATAACCCTCAGCATCAGCAGCAGCATCATCATCATCATCATCATCATCATCAGCAGCAGCTTCATCATCAGCATCATAATCAGCATCAGCATCATCATGATCATCGTCATCGTCAGCATCAGCAGCATCAGCCTCATCATCATAAGCAGTAGCGTCATCGTCAGCATCAGCAGCATCATCATCATCATCATCGTCATCATCGTCGTCGTAATCATCCTCATCAGCAGAAGCATCATCATCAGCATCGGCATCATCAGTATCGTCAGCATTCGCATCAGCATCAGCATCATCAGCATCATCAGCATCATCATGAGCATCACATTCATCAGCATCAGAAGCGACATCATCAGTATCACCGTCATCATCAGCAGCAGCATCAGCATCAACATCATCAGGTACAGCATCATCATCATCATCAGCAGCAGCAGCAGCAGCAGCAACAGCATCAGCATCAGCATCATCACCAGCCTCATCACCAGCATGATGCATCGGCATCAGCAGCATCATCATCATCATCATTATCATCATCATCATCATCATCATCATCATCATCATCATCATCATCATCATCATCATCATCATCATCATCAACATCGCCACCAGCAGCATCAGCATTACCGTCATAAGCAGCATCAGCATCAGGATCAGCATCGTGAGCCTCATCAACATCAGCATGAACATCAAAATCATGATGCGCATCATCATCAGCATCATAAACACCGTCATCCTCATCAGCAGCAGCAGCCACATCATCCACAGCATCATAAACATCGTCATCATCATCATCAGCATCATCAGCATCATCATAGTCATCACCAGCGTCAGCATCATCAGCAGCATCGCCAACGTCGTCATCATTATCATCAGAATCAGCAGCATCGTCCTCATCATCAGCATCATCAGCATCATCATGAGCATCAGCAGCATGAGCACCCTCAGCATCACAGTCATCATCGCTGGTATCACCATTATCAGCATGATCAGCAGCATCATCATCAGCAGTAGCATCAGCATCAGCAGCATCGTCAGCATCAGCATCATCAACGTCACCATCATGAGCACCATCGTCATCATCAGCATCGTCAGCGTCAGCGTCAACAACATCATCAGCAACAGCATCATCCTCAGAAGCAGCATCAACACAATCATCAGGATCAGCGCCGTCAATAGCATCATACGCATCAGCATCAGCAGCAGCATCATCACCATCATCAGCATCAGCATCTTCGCCATCGCAATCGTCATCATCCTGCTCATAGAAAAGCATCAGCATCATAAACGGCAGCATCATCATCATTAGCCATCATCATCGTCAGCATCACCAGCATCATCAGCATCCCCATCTGCATCATCATTACCCCGCCCAAGCATCATCAGCCTCATAAACATCGTAAGCATTATCATCATCAGCATCATCAGCATCAGCAACATCAATACCTTCATCAGCATCATCATCAGTAGCATCATCATCAGGCCATCGCCATTCGCAACAATAGCATCAGCATCATCATTACAGTGAACAAAGGCATCATCATTATCAGCTCCATCATCATCATCATCACCATCATCATCAACATCCGCATCTGCATCAGCATCCGCATCCTCATCCTCATCATCATCATCATCATCATCATCATCAGCATCAGCATGAGCATCAGCAGCAGCAGCAGCAGCCGCATCGTCATCAGTGTCGTTGTCGTCACCGCCGCCGTCATCGCGAACGCCAATGCCATCGTCGTCATCACCCTCTTACTCGAAGTCAGAATAATCTGCAACATCAAAAGCGTTATACGCCCACCCTTGCAACAATCTGCTGACCATCGGAAACATCCAGGCGATGCCCGAAGCAACGTGAGGACGGGGGGGAAGCAGCCGACGGAAACCGCGGGTGAGTTGCGGGCCGCCGTGAAGATGCCACGCCGACTGCCCCCCCCTGCCCGCTCGGCCCCTGCGCCCTGTCCCGTGCTTGGCCCCGCGCGGGGCGACGGTGTCCCAAGGGCAGTAGAAGAAGTCGATCTCGTCGCGAATGTGCGGGCATAGCTCCTGGCTGCCGCTGCCGCTGCAGCCGCTACCCCCGCGGCCCCTCCTGCCGCCCGACTCGGCCTCCTGCCGCCCGACCCCCCTCAGAAGGACATCTGCCCGACCCGCCAAGCAAGACTAGCCCGCCTGACACACCCGACCCTTCAGGTCGCCTGCCCGCCGGCTGGAGCCCGACCCGCCCCTCAGAATCAGCCCGACCGACCGGCGCGTTAGGATACGACTACTACTACTACTACTACTACTACTACTACTACTACTACTACTACTACTACTACTACTACTACTACTACTACTACACTACTACTACTACTACTACTACTACTACCACTACCACCACTACTACTACTACTACTACTAATACTACTACTACTACTACTACTACTACTACTACTACTACTACTACTACGACTACGACTACGACTACGACTACGACTACTACTA